TTTTTTTTTTTTTTTTAAATGAGAGCAATGAAACTGAACGGATAATGCGCAGAGTCGAGGAATCAGGAAAAAAAGCATTTTCTTTCTACCTTTTGCATTTTGGGGGAACCAGTTTCGTGCACGTATCATATGAGGCGGTGGTTCTGTTACGCATGTGATTTGGGGTGTTGTGTTTTCACTTACTCGTGAGCGCAGCCCACAGGGTTATGTGGTCTTTGTGACCATTATTTGTACTGTGTACAAGCTACTTCCCTGGGGAGCTGCCTCACCGTCTACTTAGCCGTTTTCTCACTCGCGGACAACCTGCGTCTTCTGACCTGTGTTCTTTCTTACCATTAAGGCTGCCACAACCACCTTCGTGCCTACAGCGCTCGCCCGTGTGGACTTCGTTTCTTCAGATCGGCTTCCCGCAGTGAAATGTCAAGACACAAAAGCTTTACACCTTCCCTCTCTTGCGGTTCTAGGTGCATACCAGCCAGCTTGTTTTCCAGGGCTACCCCGATTTCTAACGCCACCAGTCCAGCGATGTATCAGAGGATATTTTCAGTTACTGTTTCCATGTGGACACAGTGGAATTCAAAACGGTGCTAACTTAATGTACAAAACACAGTTCTTCATTACTTGAAGGCATATGCCTTCGCTTGGTTTCACAAACTGGCCTGCGGTCTCAGTCTGACACTTCTCCAAAAGCCTGGGCTCTGGTGGCCACAGGTCACTACTCAAGGCTTGTAAATGAGATGTGATAAAGCCACGAGAAAAAACTATGTTCCAATCACGAGCACAGGTGCCCTGAAGCTCGCTGTTATGCCAAGGAAAAGACGTCAAAGCTCTGACGGTCGCAGGTGCTCGAGTGCGTCTAATGCATCGGGTGCTTTTTCGTTGTTGTTGGAGTGGGTTTGGTTTTTTGTTTTTTTTTTTTTAAGTTTATTTATCTGGAGACAGAGGGAGTGTGAGCGGGGAAGGGGCAGAGAGAGAGAGGGAGAATCCCAAGCAGGCTCCGCGTGGTAAGCGCACTGAGTCCAACGCAGGGCTCGAACTCCCGAAACCGTGAGATCGTGACTTGAGCTGAAATCAAGCGTCGGACTGAGCCACCCAGGAGCCCCTTGGGCTGGGTGTTTTGTTTTTTGTTTTAATTTTCATTCTACAGATGAGCAAATGGGACATGGGGAGCAATTCAGTGAACTGTCCAACCTGGATCCGGTCGTGCTGGGCATCACGCCAGGTATAGAAACCAGTGGCCACCAGGGATGACATCCACATAGACACCGGAGAGCCTTGCACACAGCAGGCCTTCTGTAAGTATGTTGATGATCTAATCTGACTTTCTAAAGGGCTGTTTTTGAATGAACCATTCTCAGTACTCTGCATATTTCCAAATTCCACAGTAGAATACAGGGAGCCTGTGGGCACAGACAGGACGGGTTTCTTTAAGTAAGCAAGTTGCTAAAGATACCTCGGAAGTGGAGACCAAGGCTTAGAATGGCGTTGACTTTGATCTGGAAATTGCAACGTAAGGAAGGCACTTAAAAGTGAACACTTCATCAAGCCTTGGGCTTTTTTAGGATCAGCAATTTCTCCAGTGGGATCTCTGCTCAGAAGGCTCTGGAAGGCTAGGCTGAGCAACTGTCTATGTGGAAGGCAGCCACGGACCGAGCCAGGGATGCTGTGGAGAGGAGGCAGTCACAGTGGTTCCCAGACTGCTTCAGGCCATCGCTGGAAAGGCGCCCAAGCAGCACTGGCTGGATGTGACATCCTTGAACGCAACGACAGAATGACGGAGGCTGTGCCCATGGCGCCTTGGGCAATCGGAGACCGAGCGGCACTCCTCGAGGGACAGTGCCACCTGGTCAGAAGTCTGCATGGGGCGTTGGCAATAGTCCCAGTGGGTCCCCTCTGGGCTCTGGCTCCTCTCATGCCTTCCTGCTCGCGTTCCTCTGGCCACCAGGGGCCTGGCTCATGGTACCTGTTGTCCACAGCAGGGACACGTAGCAGAGCCGGGGTGAATGCTACTCTGGAGCCCCCATTTTGGGTGCCCAGTGTCAGGTCATGGACTCTGGGCTGCAAAGCTCCCCCCCCAAGTAGTGTGGCCAAGCCACCGTCCTGTCCTGTGGACTTCGTCAGAGCCTGCAGTCCGGAGACTGCTGGGGACTGTCCCCTATGCCTTCCACCAGGCCTCTGAAGGCTATGCCATAGCAGAGGTTCTGAGAGACAGGTGCGAGGGGTGCTCTTCTGACACTGGAATGGGTCAGTGAGCAGGACGGGGACGGCCCTGCCTCGTGGAACTGACAGGTCTAATAAGGGGGCCTCTTGTGGACCCCGTGATGACCACCGGAAGGTGGAAAGTGCAAGGATAACGAAGTTCCAGATGCCGCTTTCTTATTTCTGGGAAGAAGGCTGTTTTTTTGGGGGTGGAGAAAGCGCCCTTGGGAAGGGAGGCGGCGTCGGCCGCGTCCACCAACGCTGGGCGACATCGAGCCGGGGCCCGGCAGAAGGACGCGGCCTGGGAAGAGCAGCCAACGGGTCAATGACTCCAGCTCGCCCACCCGGGGACGGACGGGAAGTCAGGGCGGGGAAATCCGACTCTGCAGTCTCACGCAATCTTTGAGACGGGAGATGGGGGAGTAAAGGGGAAACCCCCCCCCTGCCCCGGCCCCCATCGCAGCAACGGTGACAGCTCATCACCCCCCACGTCCCGGGCGCTAGCTAAAGCCCGAGGGAGGACGGCGCGGGAGGATCTCGTCCGGCCAAGCCAGGACTGGGCGTCAGTCACCCCATGTGGGGAACTGGGTCTCAGCTGGCCGCGTCCGTTCTAAAAACAGAAAGACCACAACCGAGCCCAGGATCTATTTTTACGCCCCGCTCACTGGAGAGGAATGTGTAATATTTCAGTAAAGGGGGAGCGCGTGCAGCCAAAACTAACTGTTGGGCTTGGCAGCGTCCGACCCATCGAAATTGTTGAGACAAAGGCTACAGAAGCGTTGTCAGGAAACATCCTAGTTTACTGGAGCAAATCTGAATAAGCCCACAAGCCATCTAGCATTTATTCTCCCACCTCCTCCTCCAAAGAAGGAAAGAGGAGGAGAAGGTATGAAAAACTTTTA